GGGACTACAGGCATGCACCACCATGCCCGGCTAATTTTTTCTATATATTTTTAGCTGTCCAATTAATTTCTTTCTATTTTTGGTAGAGATGGGGTTGTAGGTTTTTTTTTAAAACAGCTAAAAAATATCACTTATAAAAGCCCCTTACTCCTCCAAAAAGGCAAGGAACTGTTTTATTAATAGAATAAAGGTAATTAAAGAGGTAGCTAAGTATGTAATGTGTTATTCTTAATTATTGGATCCTTGGTCAAAAAAAAAAGTTCTAAAGAACATTTTGGGGACAATTGAAATTTTAATATGGACAGAAGATTAGAAATTTTGTTTTGTCAGATGCCCTGAATGTTATAATGGTATTGTGATTAGGAAGGAAAATACAGTTGTTCTTACTTGCTAAAATATTTAGGGATAAAGTGTCATGATGTCTACAACTTAAAGAAAACCAGTATATAAACATTAAAAAGCAAATGTGCAAACTGTGGACAACTAGTGAATCTAGGTGAAAAGCATATGGATTCATTGTACTTTTCTTCCAACTTTTCTGAAGATTCAAAATTTTTCAAGATTGGAAAACAATAAATATTTGGAAAAGGCTAGCTTGGGTATTAACAGCTCTTATAGCTCAGATAAAGTTTGGATGTATAATTTCTATGTTACCAATTTATCAAAACTACAGGAGTCATGACTGGGAAGAGGGTATGTACCTGTTTTTAATATTCTAACCCCACGAAACTGATTAACTCAGTAGAAACAACAAATTAAAATCCTACATTTATTTAGTATTGTTGAGGAATAAACAAACCTACTCTTTACATGCTAAAACTTTTTAATGCAAAATACCTAAAACCTGGTTTTATCCCCTTTACTTTGTTTTGCTGAAGAGCGCCCTCTCTCCAAGCCCCAGGGAACAGAGGCAGGCCCAGTGCTAGCCTGTCCTGGCTGTTTCATACAAACGCCATTTCTGGTCACCAATCCAATGCACCTGCAGTCCTTCCTGCCACCGCCTCCCAAACACTCCTCCACTGCCCAAACTGATCCATCCAGTCAGTTGTAATTTTGGATAAATTGATTAGAAAAGAAGGCAATGAAGCTTAGTAAATCCAAAATCTTAATTCCAAATTTGGCTAATATCTTTCTCCTGTTGGGAAGGCTTCACACTTCAGAGGTTTATATTAGGTCACTAAATATGAAATGTCCGATTTCAAATCAAAAGTGTAGTTTATTATATCCCAAACAAGAAGCAGTACTATTAAAGTGTGCACCTAAACTTTCAACACAGTTTTGCCATCTTAAGGGTAGGTTGTTTATGCCTGCAGCAAAGAAGCCTGGAAATCAAGTGGCAATGAAATCGCAAAAGGCGTTTTCCACACCTTGTTGAGAACTGAGTATTTTCCTTTGCAAGAAGTGGTCCAAAGCCTGGAAGAAGTTGGTGCAAGGTCTTGTGAATATGATGGATGACAGAGAGTTTCCAAGTCCAGCCTCTGTAGTTTGAGCAGCACTGTTTTTTTGTAACATGTGGTCTTACAAGAGGATTAGCCTGTCTCTATTGACCAGTCTTGGCCGCTTAATCACAAGCATCCTCATCATTTCATCCATTTGGTTGCAGTAGACATCCATGGTAATCGATTGACCAGGTTTCATGAAGTTGTAGTGGATAATACCAGCGCTCTACCACCAAGTAGACACCATTAGCTTTTTCTGATGAATATTTGGTTTTGGACTGTGTTTTGGCACTTCATCTTTATCCAGCCATTGTGCTGAATACTTGTAATTGTCAGAAAGCATTTATTTTTCATCACACGTATGGTGTATAAATGGTTTGCCTTTGTTGTGACAGCAAAGAAAGGCAAGCTTCTAGCCGGTTTCTCTTCTGACGCTCGTTTAATTCATGTGGAACCCGTCTGTCCAGCTTCTTTACCTTGCCAATTTGTTTCAAATGGTCCAATATTGTTGGAATAGTAACATCAAACCTTGCTGCTAATTCACGTGTAGGTGAGATGGATTCGCTTCCACTACATTTTTCAGTTCATCATTATCCACCTTGGTCTCAGGTCACCCACATGGCTCACTTTCAAAATTAAAATCACCACAGTGGGACTTCTCAAACCATCAACGTACTGTGCGTTCATTAGCCACGTCCTTCCCCAACACTTCGATGACATTTAGAGCTGTCTGCATTGCACTGGTTCCATGATGGAACTCATATTCAAAAATAACATGAATTTTTGACTTATCTACGGTTTCACAAAAATTGCCCTAAAAAATGTGAAAGATAATCACAAGCCAAAATGTGCATTTGAAAGACTGAGGATGTACCTTCACGGTAGGGGAAAAATAACCAAGAAGTGTCAAAGTGAAATGTCAGAAATATCAACTGTCAAACTTAGTACTTAAGGAAATCGGACATTCTATAGTTAATGCCTAATAAAATGCTTTGATTTCATGCCCCAGGCTCCTTGCTGATTATTATTTGTGGGTTCATGCTTGTGTTCCAGATGATAAAGATTACCACATGCCTGACCAGCAGAGCAACAGGCATTATGACTACATTTTGGATCCAGTAATTTATTTATTCACATTCCTCTAAGACTTCAATTTATTAATAGGATGCTTTCCAGCTAAAAAGTAATGTTTAACTAGTGGGCATTGAATTAATTTCAAAATACAACACTGACAAAGCCTTTTTGAAAAGATGCTAAAAAGCCATAGAAATTTTATTGTAAGATTTTTTTAAAAGCAACACTACAACACTGTAGAGCTAAGTATTAATTTTCTGCTAGTACATGAGAGTCAAGACTCTTTCCTCTCTCAGCAGTCTCTCCTACACATTACGCTGAAATAATTGCTGGCCAGAAAGGGAAAAATGTACTTTCAGATGATATAATCACTTGAACATGTAAACAACTGGGCAATAAATGAGTGGTTATTAAGTAAATTTTTTGCCCTGGGGAGAGGTAGCTATCATATTAATTATATGAGCAGATGATCAATTTGAGAAATTTCATAATCATTTCTAAGGAAAAAATGCAAATTATCATAGTCTTCCATATCTGTGGGTCCTACATTCTCAGATTCTAACAAATGCAGATCAAAAATATTCAGAATACAATAAAAAATAAAAATTTAAAAATACAGTATAACAACTATTTATATAGCATTTACATTTTATTAGATATTATAAATAATCTAGAGATGATTTAAAGCATGTGGGAGGATATGCTTAGGTTGTACGCAAATGCTGTACAGTTTTATATAATGTACTTGAACATCAAGTTCAAGTGGATGTGGAGATCCTAGAATCAATCCCCTTTGGATACCAAGGGATAACTATATTGTCACTTTATATGCAGAAAAGAAAAATGCAAAAGCTAAATAATTTTAGGAAAGAAATGGCTTTATTTTCTGAGATATTTCCATAATACATTTTTCACATCATTGGGTATACTATTCTATAAAAGAACATGGCTATAGTTTATTATCCACTCTACCCCATGAAGTAATCCTGAATAGCATAAAAGTGTGATGTAGGTACAAAGAGTGAAAAAATTGGAATTTCCAAACTACGCCTTTAATTTAGCATTCAGAATAGTATCTCCACTGTGGAGGGTTTGTTAGATTGCTGATAATGTTGATCATCTTCTACATAAAATTTCAAAAGACTAAGCAGACATTTGTTTTGTTTTTTTAAAAAGTATTTATTTTTTAATAGTGAGGATGGAACCAAGCAAAGAAGTTTACAGAAAAGATGTCCATATATAAAGAAAGAAATAGCAAAATATTTTTTGGTCATAATTTAGAAACAAACTAGTCTGTAAAAAGGAGACAGTTTCCCCAGGTCATCTCTTCCATAGAAGAGTATAAGCACAAGCTGTCAGTTCCTTGATATCCTCAGTAGGCCACGGATACGTCTGACAAGAGCCTGTATGAAACTATATCGAGATCGAACTTTTGAATACAATCCTTCAATGTCCAGAAGTTTCTTTTGTAGTGATTCTCCAAAAGCATTGATGGCATCAGCCTGAAGCTAGAGGTAACACAGATGACATTTTATTATTAAAATTGCTGTCTCAAATATTTTAGTTTATATGTTTCAATTTAAAATACCTTTGAATTTTTATAATGTGGTCTTTCCAGTGTAAAATACTTTTGAATTTCTGTAAGTGGTACAAATTAAGTAAACATTCACACTTTCCACCTTAGAATTTTTGGATATGATTCTAGTGATTTTCCCTCTTTCTTTTCTTGTATAAATTGTAAATTTTTAAATCTGCTTTAAATAGCAACAATTGTTGATACTGATATACACACAAAACATTTCCTAAAGGGCCATATAATAAATTAGTACGAGTGGGTGCCTCATTTTGCAATTTTTAAAAAATTATCTGCATGCTTTTGTTTTCAAGAACTAATATCACACACCTTGACTGATACCTGCTTTGTTAGGAACATGACTTTGCTATTTGTTTAATATGAAGTTTTCATTTTTAATTGTTTCTCAATCTCATCATTAAATTATTTCCTGAAAAATTAAGTGTTGAGTGATACTTCGTGCCTAAAAATTCTACAAAGCTAATCAGAAGATGTTAGAAGTTTCTAGAACATAATACCTTCCAATTACTGAACACATACCTACCACATTCCAGGCATAACACTAGTAGCCTCACATACATGAAATCTCATTTAATTCTGACAAAACCCTGAGGTTGATTTATCCTTCCCATTTCTTAGATGAAGAAATTGAGGCTCAGAAGATAAGTTGTTCAAAGTCACATAATAGCTGTTAAGTGGCCATGCTAGAATTCAAATCGGATCTCTATATGCAACCCTGGAAATCATCATCTTATTAACACACCAGGCATTCCTTTAATAAAGAGAAAAAGTATGAGAATAGAACCTTACCTGGTCTATATCATGTTGACTCACTATAGTCAGCCCACTTCTAAAATCTAGACTGGTTTCTGAGGCGAAGGAATCTAGAGATAAAAGACACAGTCACACCAGTTTTGCAAGCACACATCTACTACGTAGAGGAGGAACTTGAATGACGATAAACAATTGTATCAGGAAAAACAGGGTCCAAGACTAGGTACTCAATTTTCAACTTTCAGCAAATGGAAGCCCCTGGGAAGCATTTCACTGGACCAGGCCAGGGTTCAGTAGTTTTTCTCTATTTCTTCCCACATAAGGGATCTAACACATGCTCATTGGTCAGAGGCCCACTCCAGCAATAAGAATCACAGCCTAGTGGCTGACACACTTTCACTCTTCTAGGGAATTACTTGTGACCAGAGGACTCTGGAGCTAGGTCAGCCCTTAACTGCAAGAAGCTGAGGAACAGCTGATGATCAGGCTCTAGAATACTCTTATGCTCAGCACAATTTCCATGGACAGAAGGTAAAAATGCAAGAAATGGCTACATCTAGTAACTAAGTATTAATAGCTCCTGATTTACCCCATTCACTCTTAGTAACCTGGAAACATAAAAAATAAAAATGTAACTAGTTTTTCAAGGCACTAAAATCTATAGGCATTTATGGTTCACTAATTTTTAGCATAGAGTTTACCTTGTAGTCTTCTGCTTTTAAATAAGGTTCTGGAGGCAAATAAAGAATCCTGAGAATCCGTGGGTGTGCAATGTAACAAGTAGTACTCCAGATGGCGCCAAAGAATAAACAGGCAGGTCTCTATGATAACTATATATGACAGCTCAGATTAAAGGAAAATAATCTCATCAGATATTTTTCACAAAGCAGTTTCTGAGGAGGAGAAAAAAGGAGAAACTGCACTCACTTAAGTGATGCACCCACAGCCGCGGTCTAACAGACGGGTAAGTTTCCACTGAAGGTACCTCCAGAGGAAGCAGCGAGGTATGCGGAGAGGAAGGAGCAGGGGACCGTGGGATGCTGTACCAGCAGTCTCGTGTCCTTACCTCCCGCCCAGACACAAAGTGCCTGTGCACATTATAAGTATTACTAGCTACTCTAAAAGGTACGAACAAAAATTATGATTTGGAACTATATCAGGCATTTACCAGAAAAAAATTAACAGTAATTATATCCCCCCCCATGTGGTTTTGGAGCGCAAATAATGTGAGAATAAGTAAACAGTTCCTACACTTAAAGGTCACCATTCAAGCCTATGATTTCATAAAAGATACAAGAACAAAGGGAAAGCAGTTTAGCTCGATTGTTGATCAACTTCACCAAACGCCGTCTTGCCAGAACATATTTCTGGGCAGTGGAGATTTTATCGACACCAGCAGGCATCACAGACTGACACAACTAAGGGAAAGAAACAAATGCAGTATTAGAATGGCATAAATTGTAAAATTTAATGGGAGTCTACTATACGCAGGTGTGGTAAGTGCTGCAAAAAACACTCAAATTTAAACATCCTTAAGGACAAGAGTTTATTATCTACTTAAGAAGATACTAATTTTAAAAAATGAGAGCCAAAGAGGCTCACATTCACAAATGAATGTTTATCTCCTGCCTTTTGAAAAAGTCTGTCCCTGAAATAGACCTTTGCAATCTGCTAATGGGCGCACCAACCCTGAGTTTCCTGTCACATTAAAATAAAACAAAACAAAACAGTTGGTCTTTCCATCAGTACGTCTAACAATCCCATGGAGAATTTCTGTAACAGCTGTCAGGTATCTTCTGAGGAAAGAGTAAAGTAGACTTCTGGAGCATAACAAAAGTATGATCACCAACCAAAGCCTCCCCTGATCACTTCTCAATCTGGCATACATAATAAGCAGTGGTTCAATTTAGTGTTGTGACACTGGGTTTGACAGAAGGTGTTTCAAGTGAGGCTGATGGAAGGGCACATGCTTTATTATGGTGCTGCAGTTCCTCTTGCGAGTATGAGCATCGCCAACAAGCTACACATTAGGGAGGAAGGACTGCCAGATGCAAACCACACAATTTCAGAGGTTACCTGAACCCTGTCCATAACTCCTGCCTCACCCTGTTCCTCCTAGCTGTGTGCTTTTGGCCAAGTTATTTAAGCCTTCTGTGCCTTGGCTTCTTCACCTAAGAAATCGGAATAGCAATAATATCTGCCTCATGTATTCAGGTAGAACCTGCAGCTCAGGGCCTGGCACATCATAAACAATAAATGTTCCCTATGATTATCAGAAGAGTGGCAAGAGGGAATAGGCTTTGACTACTCACAAGAATGACATGGAATTTTTTAGAAAACCTGGCACAAACCAGGAATGACAAAATGGCTCAACATCCAGGCTGCCACTGGACACCAGGAAGCTTTAGCTCTGCCTTAGAAACTGGCCAAGAGATGCCTTAGAGTTCAGCTGTGCCAAATAGAAAAGAAGGCAAGCTACTTAGGGAGCAAGGCTAGTAATTCAGCATCTTTAGCTATAATAAGTACAGGGATTGATTCTGGGTCACTGAGAGAAGACGGTCAAGTCTGATATGCTATCTCATTGGTTTGAAAAATTCCCTAAACAGATATTGAAGACGCTGAAGGAACAGAGACACTTACCTAAGTTCTACTGAAAAAACATCTGCAATAGAAACTCATGTTTCTCAGCACAGATTTTACAGTATAAATTACCCAAAACTCTTCATTTGAAGGCCAGCTGCTACTTCACTGTTTTTCAGTCAGGAGTTTCTATGCTTATGAGGCTGGTGCTAAGGTGAGAAACTCTTTTCCAAGTCTCATAGAAGAATCATTCCAATTCCTTCAGTCATATTGCACATATCATTTTTACTCAGTCTGAGGTCAGTAGCCCAGCCCTCGTAACAGCAATGACTTCTCAAGTCCCCAGAGCTCATTATAAGATTCATACCTCTTTTATCTCATCCGGGGGAAGCTGCTCTACATTCTGTAGCTTGTTAACACTCCGTCGATGACTGTCATAATAGCTGAAGAAATCATTAGCGCTCTGTTTCAGCAGGTAGACAATAATGCCTAAACCAGGCAGGCGCCAATATGGAACCACTGGAGCTTGGGTATCTAACAGAGTCAATGATACAAAACATTGTTCCACTTATAAGCATTTTATACAAATTTCTAATGACCTGTTTTAAAACAAGGGATGCCCTAGAATTTAAGGACATGTAAGCTATCATTAAGACCAACCCAAGACTACTTTTAAATACCATTGATAGTTCAAAGAACGTGTGGTAAGGAGCTACTGTAATCAGGTACATACATAAGGCTGGAGACCCTGAGAGAATAAAGAAATTTGGTTGATGGAGATCAACAGAGCCTACCCTTCACTGGGTAAAGACTTCTTTGAGGACTCCATCAAAGTTACAAGCTTTTACACTCATCCCTCCTCCCATCACATATACAAACCATATACACAATTCTGGGGCTTCCTGTCCTCAGGTGAGTGATTCCTGCCTTACCCGATGGCTCTAGTTATATGGATTCATTTCTGGTCTGCATCTTTCTGGTTACTATATTGACAGCTGAAAGTCATTTTTCCAAAGAGACAAGTGCACTAACCAAATATTCAAAAAATATAACTAGATTTAAACTTTAACAAGTTTTTTACCATAACAACTCCATTAGGGTAGCAAAACAAAATGATATGCTTTTTACCTGGCTACCTTCTAATGAAGGTGCAAAGGAACAGTGGGGTATCATAAAAGTTGTTTGCAGAGGGAAGAAGAACTAGAGAACAATAACATTATCATCAGAGATAGTTTGTGTGCTATAATTAGAGCAATTTCCTCTAATGACTGAGGGATTTCTTGGAAATACCATGCTAACTTCAAGTTCAATTTGAAGATAATCTTTGTTTAATGGCCCAAACTGTCATGAGTACTGAAGGAGAGATCTGTGTTGGCTTTCTTAACTACCAACTCCCTTAACTTTGCTCTAAAGTCAGATCTCATAGAACTTTCTACAAAGGGAAAGAGAGATAATAGGCCCTTGTTTGTGGATGCTGTCACCAACCAGGATATTGCAGACAAATTCAATGTGCCAGGTATCCTTTCCCAGACTACAGTAAATATGTTACAATCTTTACAATACAGGTCATTATTGAGAGCCTCCTGCTAGTAAAATTAGATACCCTGGTCCCCAGATAATATTTGTGTGATCTCTATACCCTGGTAGGAAGATATCCACTAAGAAGATGATCTAATGCTGGGAGGACTCCAAAGAATTTCTGGAGTTCTCACCACACTAACTTGCTCAAGTCTAGAGAATATTAGAGCATTCAGAGGCTATCAGACTTAGACACAAGATGAAGATGACTTGTGAGAAACTGGACTACAAAAAAAGATCCCACAGGACAGACCACAGACCATGTGGTCTCAGAATTGTAAGTGCAATAGGAAAGGGTCCCTGGATCACAAGTAATATACACTACATGACAATAACCATAATGAAAATAATAGCAGCTGACATTTTGTAGTGCTAAGTGCCAGCCAGTGTTCTAAGAGACTTTACATATATTAACACATTTAATCCTTACAACAATTCATCAGAGGAGAGCTTGTTATTGCTTCCATTTTACAAATAAGGAAACTGAGTAACAAAGAGTTTAAGTAATTTTCTGAAATCATACCAATAAGTTACTTATAGAACTGAGATTCAGATCTAGCCAGGTCATCATCAGTCTGTGTTCTTAACCACCAGGTTAAAATACCTCTCTATAACTAAGCATTCTCAAACCTACCACATACCTACCTACACATATGTCTAGAATTGGAAGAGAAAAATATGGTTGTTAACCCTTTAAAAAGTCTAAGAAAAAAATGGAAAAATAACAATTTATAAGGTTTCAGAAAGTTCATCTTCAATAGACAAATGGCCAAAAAACATATGAAAAAATGTTCGACATCAGTAATGATCAGGGAAGTGCAAATTAAAATCACAATGAGATACCACTGTACCCCTGTAAGAATGGCCATTACTAAAAAGTCAAAAAACAACAGATGCTGGCATGGATACAGAGAGATACATTTATATACTGTTGGTGGAAATGCAAACCTCTATGGAAAACAGTATAGAGATTCCTCGAAGAAATAAATGTAGACCTACCATTCGACCCAGCAATCCCACTACTGCAATCCCACTACTGTGTATCTACTCAAAGGAAAAGACGTCATTTTATCAAAAAGACACCTGCATTCAAATATTGTAGCACAATTCACAACTGCAAAGATGTGGAATCAACCTAAGTGCCCATCAATTCATGAGTAGATTAAGAAAATGTGGTGTATATATACACCATGGAATACTACTCAGCCATAAAAAGGAATGAAATAATGTCTCTGCAGCGATTTAGATGGAACCAGAGGCCATTATCCTAAGCGAAGTATCTTAGGAATGGGAAAACAAACACCACATGTACTCTCTAATATGATAATTGAGAGCTAATCGATGGGCGCACATGGGCACAAAGAAATGTAAATTGGAAATCGAGAAGGGAGGAGGATGGGAAGGGCAAAAACTTACCTTCTGGGTACAATGAACACTGTGCTGGTGATGGGCACACTAAAAGCCCCGACTTAAGCATTACAAAGGGTAAAGTACCCACGTAACAAAGACATTTGTATTCTCTTAATATTTTGAAATTTTAAAAAAATTACTCATGTTAAGGAAGGGGTTTGGTGTATGGGTCTGAGATACTATTCCTGGTTTCCAGGGCCTATATATGTGGAGTGCAGGGGATCCAGAACTTCCTGGATGTCTTGGAAGTAATGTGGATATAGTAAGAGAACTGGAGGAGGCCTGAGATCAGGAAGCAGAGGCTAAAGAGTGAGGGGAGCACAAGCACTAGAGGCCACTGCTGAGAAATCAGCAGGAGAAAAGTATGGAACCCAAGAGAACAAGATGAGCCCCAGATGTGCCTCATGGTGTGAATATCATCTCAGGATGTTAGTGACCAAGTGGGTCCATGCAGGCCACAGCAGAGGCCGCCAGGACAGGGCAGAGGTGGCAGGCTACGCGCTACTTCCTGGCTAATCCTATGGGCACATAGGCCACTTGAGACATTAAATCTGGTAAGACAAGGAGAAAGAAGGAGAAAAATGTGAAGACTGAATACGTATTTAATAAACTCCTATTTAGCCAGGGAGATGGGTCTAGGATTTATACAGGAAAGACTAATAAATTTAAGATGGTAAGAAAAAAAGGCAGAAGCCCTGTGGGGTGGTCCTTACAAGGCTATTTAGTTGCATTATAGAGAAATAAATTTACAGTTTTATGAATGGGAATCATAGTGGGTCCACTTTGACTTCTCCACTAGAGATTGATTCAAATAAATTTTGTATTTCATGGTGTGGTGCCTAGATTTTTGTCATTAACAATAGGGGCTACCTGAAAGCTTCTTATTTTAACTATTTTTTCTTGATATATAAGTGCTAAACTTAGATATCAAATTTCAAAATTAATAAAACATCATTCACTAAAAAAATTTTTAAAAAGCTCAACTTCAGGTATTAAACATCAAAGAATGGTCTTTAGGACTGGCTCAAAATGAGTAACAACTAAATAAAATTTTAATAATTACCAATTATTAGCATATGATTAATGTTTTTAAAGAATGACAAAATTACATTTTTATTTGAAAATTTTATATTCACATTAAATTTGTTTTATTAATAAAAGGTTAGTTTCAAGGGGGAAGAAAAGGATTGCCCTCTGAGGCAGAGTTAGAGATCTTCATCAAGATATAGTCCTACAAAGGTTAATAAACAGATTGATGTTCACTTCTAAACTGCCAGGTAAAAGGAGACAGATCAGGTTAAAAGTCACTGCTGGGTGACAGGAAAACCCCTCTACCAAATGAGAAGGGGTCTTTGGATAGGATTCCCAATCATTCCATGCCCTTCCTAAGAAAAGATGACCTCTCTTTTCACATTGGTCGAGTCACCTGGACTAGAAAGATAACTCTGTTCTCAGGCTGGTGAGGCCATGCAGGGATTGGAACCCTCCCATGGCAGCCCCTTTTTGTTCTAGAGCGGTTTTCCCGGCAGCAGACTTTTTGAATGTAGAAGGAAACAAAACTATGTAGAATTAATTTGCTAACTAAGCCAAAGGACATGTCCAGTCTAATTTAAGCATTTTACTCCATACGAGATAATTATAAATCTTTATAGCTACTTCCCCAACTTCTTTAAGACATCCTCTCACCTAAGTAAAATTACTCCCAATGAATCACTTAATGAAAGTTATCTTTACATCAAGGTATCTCATTAGCTATTAAGGACTTCTGGTTTCCAGTACGACAAACTAAGATCATACCAGACAAGACTCTCCTCCCTGCTCCTGCATAGCAAAACCCTAAAAAAACCAAGACATAATACACACAGAAGCAGATGCTGGTGGGAAAAAAGGCAGAACTACTGTGACAGAAATCAGAATAGCAGATGCCTAAGCCAGGGGTTGAAGGAAACAATCAAATGTAAAGAGGCAAGAAGAAACCTTTAAGGAACAGGGAATTATTCTATATTTTGATTGCAGTGGTAGTTACCCAACTGCATACAATTACCAAAAATTAGTCGAACTGTATACCTAAAATGGGTGAATTTTGTCATATATAAATAATAGCTCAACAAAAAATTTCTAATCCTACTAGCTAGTATATTTTATACTAGAGCCTAACAGAGTTCTTAGTATAATTTATATATTATAAGGTTATATATTGTTAAACTGTATTTTTCATAATATTATTTTATATTACCATTCTACTAAATACATATGTTTTGTGATTAAGCAATTTTCAGACAAAGTAAGTTCTTTTTTTTTTTTTTTTTTGAGACAGAGTCTCACTGTGTTGCCCAGGCTAGAGTGCCGTGGCATCAGCCTAGCTCACAGCAACCTCAAACTCCTGGGCTCAAGCAATCCTTCTGCCTCAGCCTCCCGAGTAGCTGGGACTACAAGCATGCGCCACCATGCCCGGCTAATTTTTTCTATATATTTTTAGTTGTCCAGCTAAGTTCTTTCTATTTTTAGTAGAGACGGGGTCTCGCTCTTGCTCAGGCTGGTCTCGAACTCCTGAGCTCAAACAATCCGCCGGCCTCGGCCTCCCGGAGAGCTAGGATTACAGGCGTGAGCCACCGCACCTGGCCGACAAAGTAAGTTCTTGAAGAGGATGAAAATGAAACAATTATTCTCAGAAATCTCAAACAGAGGCTTCCTGAAATCACCAACAGTCCATTCCATTACCACCACCAAGATACTCATGGGCTTTGTTTTCCGAGTGTGCCATAGGATTACAGCTTTAACTCAGCCATTACCCTGTCCCATATTCCACATCTTCCCTACTGAGTCATCAGAAAATCATAGGCTAAGTCAGCCTGCTTAGTATCTAAATTTATTTTGCTATGTTACAGAAATTTGGAGCTATAATACAAAACCCAGTTTAGATACTAAATTCAGTTCAATATGATTTAACATAACGAAAGTGTTATATTTTCATATTTTCTATCCAGCTAGCTTGCTCTCCAATCCTACTTCTTTTCTTCAGGGACCCCAAGTACTATTCAAAATTATACTCTCCCCACATGGTTCTTCTTGATTTATCCCCAGAAAATCTTGAATTTCTCTATTCTCTCCAGCACTCCAACCGTATATATAAGTCTAACAATAATACCTGCTACTCCTTTAAAAAGTCGTTTAAAATTTTTCCCATTAATGACACTTAATGGAAAAACTGCATCTTACTGGAGCCAAGATGAAGAGCTGTGTCATAATCACAGCAACTTAGTTCCTCAGATACAGAATGAAAGAACTAGGCTCACCTTGTCGTGGTCCATCTCTGTTAACAGTTTCTGAAAGACTAGGTGTGAAGAGACACACACCGTGCTGGAAGGTGGGGGAACTCTGTAGCATGAGTGACTGGCAATATTCCATTACGTTGGCACAAATCTACAATGGAAGAACAGCAGTAACAAAAACATTAGCCCCCAAAATGCCCTCATATCACAGAAATCTAGATTTGAAGGAAAACAGGTTATAAATTAATTTATAAAATTTCTCACATCTGTCACTTTTATCAAATTTCTCTTAAAACATAAAAACCTTACAGAATAGTCACACAATTCTCACTCCTCTTACCTGTTGCATAGCCAGTTCGATCTCATCTTTCTTGCTCACTCTATCTCCCTCCACATTATCGTCTTGAAATTTAAACTGACGGAGTCTGTCGGAGCCACCAAAACGACTTAGTAGTCCCAAGCATTGGCGCTAAGAAAGAAAAAGATATTTTGTTGATCTCTAGCGGAATATATTTAAAACTAGTGACCTTTCTTTCCTGAGGGGTAGAAAAAAGAAAAAGTCAGTGGATAATGGAATCATTCTTTAAAGCATCTGATTATTTTACTTCCAACTGGGTCAACTAAAGGTTGTACTATTAAAATTCACCTCTTTTGCAAAGGTATTTGATTGGCGGGCAACTCGTGAAAAGAGTACCGATAATTTTTAGCAACAAATCCCTAATATAATCTAAGTATTTGCCAAAGAATTTTCTGCATTGTATCAAAAAGTATTTAATAATTCTTTGGAAGATATTCATTAAATGAAACACATGTTGATAAACAAATGAGAAGCAAAATGAAAGGTCAACTATAAGATGGTTCACAGCAAGCACATTAACAATGCACAGATTTAAAGGTTGTTACTCCTGTGATTGCTTCTAGGGACTTCATAAATGGGTTGGGAACAAACAGGCAGATAAAATGCAAATGTCACCAGCTTCAAATGTTGGTACTTTTCACCTGAGAATACCATTGTTCCCATGGTTCTCAGAGGGAAAGGACAAGCTTTTCAAAACTGGCAGCAAATCCAGTGGTTAGCCCATGGGTTTGGACTCAAGAGACATGGGTTCCAAATAGCAGGTATACCTTTTTTCTGTGTGATCTGGGACAAGTTACTTAATTTCCTCAAGCTTGCATGTTCACATTTCTAAAGTGGTAATAACAATTCATATCTTATAAGATTGTTGTCAGGATTACCTGAGAAATTGTATTGTGTTGTATTTAAATTGCTTAGCACAATGTTCTGCACATAATAAATTCAAAATAAAAACATGTATTTTAAAAATTGGTCACACCATATATAGATATAAATATACAGATATATACACATACAACATAATTATCTTATTATTTTAACTGATGTTAGTTTAAATAAGTTTAGATAAGACAAAATATATTAATGAGGCTATAATATAAATTTATTGTGCCAGATTAGTTGTATCTATTTTTAAAACCTATAAATGTGTATCTCCTATTCTTAGAGATAAAACAGATGTGCTCAGACGTTTCCAAAGGTCACCTTATGAAAGAATCTAGCAAAAAGGTCTTTTTCTCCCTACCAATGAAAAAGTTACAGGACTTAAAAAACCCAGGGTATTGCTGGGTTTTGCTGGAGCAAGAGCAATCCTTTTTGGAGAGCTATTTGACAATTATGATATAAAAATGTACGATGTGTATACCCTTAGTCCCAATAATACCATAGGTTATTTAATCTAGAGTTTAAAATATGTACACAACAATGCTAATAACAGCATTTTTCTTTAAAGACTTGAAAAACAATTCATGAAAAAAGGACTAGTTAGTTATTGTATTAAAAACCATGAAATACAAATTCTAGTATATAAATACAATTACTCTGCCAATTAAAAGTGAAGATGTGGCCAGGCGCGGTGGCTGACGCCTGTAATCCTAGCACTCTGGGAGGCCGAGGCGGGTGGATCGCTCAAGGTCAGGAAGGAGTTTGAGACCAGCCTGGGCAACATAATGAGATTCTGTCTCTACAAAAAATTAAAAAATTAGCCGGGCATGGTGGCACATGCCTGTAGTCCCAGCTACTCGGGAGGCTGAGGCAGTAGGATTGCTTGAGCCCAGGAGTTTGAGGTTGCTGTTAGCTAGGCTGACGCCACGGCACTCACTCTAGCCCGGGCAACAAAGCGACACTCTGTCTCAAAAAAAAAAAAAAAAGTGAAGATGTTCAGACCAAAGCAGGCCAGGAGGCTCCCAGAAAGAATGTGTTTATCTAACTGATAAACTATCTGTTTGAATATATTAAAAGTTTATAGAACTGGAGGAGAGTTTGGGAATAAATTAGTATTAAGTACATAAAAACCAAGCAAATAAAAAAAGAAATAATTATTAACTCTAGGGAAAACAAAACATTGCACAGAAAGTAACAGTATCATCCATGGCTTAATCATAAATAACATTATATTATACAATTATAAGGATGTAACACTAAATATTAATATAACCAAATTTGTGATATAATATATTGAGTTCCAGGAGGGTGTGATGAGAAATGTACATACTGTATGATGGAAAACAAGGAGTAAAGAAATCTAAATTTCCATCCTCCTCAATGGAAAGTCAGTAGTTGATTCTCAAAATTGGAAAATCAAGTAACAGCAACATAAGAATGTTATTTAGAAATACCAAAAAATGGATTAAAACAGTTGAAAGGGTTTTCCCAAATCTAAGGAGCAAAATGGTAAGGACTGATCAGAGGACTGTTACATTTTGTAATATGTCTTATAACTGCTATTTAAAGTAATAAGAATCAGTTACCTGGAATCTTCCAATATGTCCCTGTAGCTCCATTAAAGATCCTTCATTTACATCAACATCAAGTTCACTTAATATACCTATAAAATTTGGAATGCTTTTAAATAGTTTTATAATAAATAAAAGCTTTTATTAAAAACTAGGAAGAGAGCTCCTAATATTTTAGATTCTTTATGTACATGAACACTCTTGCCATGAAAGAGTTTTGATAAATACAATTTTACAAAGACTGTAAGTACCTTTTATATGTTAATAACACCAGCACCAGCAAATGTACATTCACATGCAATTTAAAATATAGATTGAGTTCATTTTAAAAGGCATTTTTAAAAGTTTTCAAGAAAAATCTAATTGTTTTTATAACCATAAAAGTTAACATTTTCTAAATTCAGTAGTAAATTACTTTCTCATGAAAGAGTTTAGAATATAAAACACTAGGAATGACACCCATTTCTTTTTGACCTTTCTAGGTACTGGACCATTTGATTTTTCTTTTCCTTTAAGCAAAATACAGTTTGCAAAAAAAAGTTTCCATTTAACTTCTCAGTTTGCACCCTTTACAAAATTCTAAATCGAGGCACTCTAACTCATGGTACCATGGCCTCTCTTGATTTCTACTGAGCCCTCCAAACAAACCTGCAGGGCATTCTCCCCATTGGTTTGCTTCCTTGTTCCATGACTGGTCATGCTGAGGAAAACCCACCTAAACCTGTCCTAGCCACCCTAACTTTCTGTGTTTTCAGAATCCCTTTCACTCATTCCTTACTCACTTCTAAGCATGTAAACAAGAACCTTATCATTTTCTCCTCATAATAACAAGCCTTCCGCTTTCTAGATGAGCTCAGCCCTCAACAACACAAATTGACAAAAAAGTCCTCCTGTTACCTGGCACATGTGGATACGTGCTCCTAGAATTACTTTCCTTTCTAGCATATTAAAATCTACCCTGCCACAGAGGATCTTTCCTATTCGAAAATATGTTCAAGTTTCCCTTGTACTCCAAAACAAAACAAAACAAAAATGAGCAAAAACTTGGTTAATATCAAATTTCTGAAATAGTCTGTCTATAATTGCTGCTTGTAATTCTTAGGCTCTTCTTTCCCAACTTAACTCCCTGAAACCTGGGATTTTGCATCTAACACTATCATGGAACTGTGACTTTTTCTTCTTTGTCCTCAAACTTGTTGATCTCTGCAACAGACCCTGTGCTCCGGAGTTTGTTTCCCCACCTGCACTGCTTTGATTTAAGAAGACTTCCAATTCTCAGTTTCTATAAGACCTTTCTGTTAAATGCTACCTACCTATTCTATGCATACTACATATATTACTCTCAATTCCAAAACACTTTTCAGAATATCTATGAGTCACAGAAACAAAAATCAATCGGCTAAGATTTGTGGAGGTGTGACATAGCCAGTAGAGGGCTAGGCACTCTGGGGGATACAAAGCTATAAATTGGCTTGCAATGTTACGGGACCATTTAAGACAAAAATGCATGCTGAAATTATAGGATAACACAAAACCATATGCAATCAAGGGCTGAACTGTGCACAGTAAGGTTAATAAGAGTGTAACTTGTTTTAAAAGTGTTTTTACAAATTTAAAAGGTAGCTGGCATTATCTTTAAAAAAAATTTAAGTATATATATCTCTGACCAAGTACTGCCAGGAATTTATCAAACCTACCAGTTCTAATGTACAGAAATACGTGAATACGTATACAAGAGACAAATACAGGTATATAGAGAAGTACAGACACATGCACATGTACACATGACAGTATTAAATGCCACACTGTTTCAGATTTTTAAAAGATGAGAAACAGTCTGGTCATAGGGGTCTGGTTAAAACACAAGGGTCTGTTAAGTATCTCACAACTGGAAAATTATGCAGCCAATTAAAAGAATGAGTTTAGGAGCTATATGCGTTGATGAAAAAAGATCTCCAAGATAAAATTCTTAAAAAGCTACAGAGAACTCTGTATGGTATGATTTCATTTGTGTAGGAAGGGAAAATGTTTATACACACACTCAAGCTTAGAAATTTCTAGAAAAATAACTATAAACTGACAACTGGTTCCTATCAGAGAGCAAGCATTGATGCTCAGGGTGCTTTCACTCTATTCATTTGTTTTGTTTGAATTTATCATAAACATGTTAAAATAAATAGTACTTTTCTGAATACAACCTTAATGCCAAGCCAGTGCATTCAACATGGCCAAAAGCTGCTATTAGCAAACTATAGAATTGTTAGGTGTTTTTTAAAAGTTAATCAAAGGAGACTTCATCAAAAAAACCACCTTTGCCGAAGGATTTGATAAAAGGTAAATTCTCATAAAGAAATACCTAACTAGGGGCTTTTGGGTTAAGATGGCAGAATGAAGTAGTGTCATAGAATGTCCCTCTTGTCATTGACCTACAAAATGAATGAGGTTCACCAAAAAAGGTAAGGAGCCAACTCATGTCATAAATACTAAAGAATGGTGGTGGCTGAAGAAAAAAAGAGAGAAAATTCTGATGCAGTGAGCAGCATGATTCAGCTCATGGCCCTTATCCACCCCTCAGAAGCAGCAGGGAGGAGAGAAGATAAATCAATAAAGTCTTACAAATTGTCATGGAGATCCTGCAATTTGTAGAGAAGCAGATTGAAAGCAATTAGTTAATTCCAGGAGAAATCAAGAGAAAACCCATTAGGAGAATCACTCCATAGCACTACTGGACCTTAGTAGAGGCAGGAAGGGTGGCCACACTTGGAATCATTTAGGACACTGGAATGAGCTGGGGACTAAGGCACACCATAGACTGGGTGGAGCGGACCCTGGGATCTCCTCAAAAGGAGCGCAGGCTCTAAGTATTAATAACTCAACAGGCACAGTACTCAGCCCTGCCCAACTATGGACTTCTCCCAACCCAGAGGGCTCAGGTATCGAGACATCCCCAAACAGGAAAAAATACTGGGGATCATGGGGTGGATTCAGGGGTTGCCTCAGACTTCTCCAAAGCAACATAAAAATGGAGGTAGTATAGCCTGGTAGTTAAGCGCATAGGCTCAGAAGCCATACGGCCTGGGAAACTATACTATCGGTGTTATCTGTGTGACTTTGGACAAGTTAATCTCCCTGTTCCTCAGTTTCCTCATCTGTAAAATGTGGATAATAATGGTTCTACCCTCATAAGACTGCTGTGTCCTCAAATCAATTAACATGTCAAGTATTTAAAACAGTGCCTGGCACACAAATCCTTAATAAATGCCAGCTGTTATCATTGATATTCCACATCCACATTCTGAGAGAAAGAAAATAATAATAACCAGCTATGCTGTCATTCAAGAACAAAGGCAACGTTTAGACATTCTTAAACATTAGAGAGTTCAGGAAGTATAAGACAATATATTTTTTCTTGAGAAAGGAGACCTCAGTACAAATTAAAAATACCAAGAGATAAATCAAAAGAAAGAACTGATGAATGGTGAAGCCATGGGGTGGGAGTGGGGGTGAAACACAAAGGGCGTTTTGCAGTGACTCCATGTAAATGTACAACTAAGTAGCTGGTTGCAGGACTGAATGTAAATGCTATAAAGCCTGACATAGTAAAAATGATATAAGCAAACATAATATGAAGGTGGAAGAGGAAGTGTAAAAGAACCAATCATTTCATCTTTCCTATCAGGGAATAACTGAGAAAAATTTACACGTAGTAAAGAAATTATAGTAGGGGAAAATGACCAAAATATCTTAATAATTTTTGATAATCTTTTTTCCTTAATCATACTGATCTTTTAATAGATGATAACTCTATACTCATGTAGTGAAGAAACATTTGTCTGGAATTCAGCAATTCCTTCCCTTTCTCTGCAATTAATTTATCTGTTAAATTCACGTAAAATTAAATATTTGCTCTCTAAAACAGCATGTAAAAGGCAATCCCATTCTCAAAAGTTACTTCTGTATGTCTCTATCTCTCCCATATGTACATATACATACAGCAATGTTAGAAAAACTATTTATCAAATGTTAACATTTGATAATTTCCAGGTAGTGAGATTTTGAGTGTTAATTATCTCCTCAAAATTTTTGGATTTTTTTTTTATAATGAGCATGTATTATTTTTATAAACATAAACTTATTACTTATAGAAAGGCAATTAACTCTGTTAGTACCAATTTTAAATAAGTCACATACAGCTGCAAGATAACAAAAACCTCAATCTATTAAGTATGTGTCAGTCTGTAAAGAATTATTAAAAGTCCATTCAACATAATCAACTCACCAGGAAGTGCTGCTTTACTTATAATTCCTGTCAGCAGAGCCAATTCCTGCAAAGACCCAGCACTAACATCCTGACAGCGCAGAATTGCTTGTATGGTATCAGAATGTGAAATGAGAAACTGCAACACCTAAGCCATGGAAAAAGAGGAGAAATGGAAGAAACATAGAGGTAGAAGAGTAGAACATTTTATTATAAATGTGTAACTCATCTTTTAAATAATGTTGCAGTAATTCGATATAATGAGGAATAATAAGAGGTAAAAATTGTTTTCTACATTTATTTATAGTTTATTTCTTCAGGAAGCAAAATTTAACTAAAATTAACAAGAAAGCTGAAGATAAGGATTATTTCTAAGTTTATAAATACTATGTTTAGAGGCTACTATAGAAGAGTATGATACAACTTGGACCTACTCTATGAAAACTATTATTTGACCTCTATTTTCTTTTATTGTTTGTCCAAATGGAACTAGAACAAGAATTTAAAATGAGTAGGTATAAAAACAACTACAGAATTCAAGAAGCTGCTCTATTGAAGTGTGATATGGGGAAAATCAAATAAACAATCTTGCCTAATTCTTATTTTGATGTGGTAAAAACAAAAGAGACATAAATCCTGACCTTCTAAACTCTGCCCTTATACCTTGGCATTTTTAATGCACCATCATGGAGGATTCTCTCAGTACTTTCACATATGAATATCTCAACTAGATTATAAACACCTTGAAGACACAGACTATGCCAAAACAAGCTGAGGATCTGAATCACACAGAAACTGTGACTGCTTTTATTTTTTAATGCAGATTCCTGGCCTCAGCCCATCACCGCTGGATACAGAACTCAGCCATCTATATACTTTTCTAAGAGGCCACTCAGGTGATTCTGCTTCAGGCAATACAAGACTGGTGCTAGGAAACCAATGTCTTGTATCAAAATGTCCCATTTCTAAGAAATCTTAATCAAGAAGAAGACAAGCAAATTTTTTGAGTTCTAAAAAACTGACTTAAAGGCCACATAGGCCTAAAAGGGGTAGGATGTCAACCTAGACTCCTGCAGTATGAAATAAGGTGCCCCTTTCGGAACAAGAGCATCTACCCTGGTGAGATAGGCCTAAGGCCTGATGGCAAGGAAACTAGACAAAAATCACCAGAAATCAAAGCATTTTAGGACACAGTTCCACAATATAATAAAGCAATACAATAAAAGATTGTAGATTCATGATGATAAACCTAATTAATCACTGAAAGATTAAATCATTTATTATATTACTAGAGAAACAAAAAAAAACATGTTTGAAGGTTTCACTGAAAAGCAATGTAAATAAAACTAATTTCTGCTGTTTAAAAATATTTTGATAGTTCTAAATATCGTATATAAATGTGGTGTTATCATCTTTCGTATTTTCTGCAGGGCCTAACATAGCCTTCTCTCAATAAATACCTGCTTAAATTACATTTTAGAAGCCAGCTTATTCCTATCATAGTAACTACATTCTTTTATAGAAGAACAAATTTCAACCTCTTGCTTTCTATCTCACTAATCTATTAGCTGTTTCATTCAAACAAGAGTACAAAAATGGGCCAGCGTAGTTCAGAGCAAAGTACAGGGGCCTGTTTTCTACACACAGCTCTGTCACAAACATTAGGATTAAGGTAAATTCACTTAAGCTTTCTATGCATAGGGTTTCTGCATTTGTAAAATGAAGATTTTGCAGTAGACAATATCCAACAAGAGATTCATCTTACCTGCCCTGCTGCCTGCAAGTGTTGGGCCATACTAGACGTGAGGATGACCTGGCACAGCTGGAGGGCAGGAAGGAGAATCTGACGGTAGCGATCCACTGGTGTAGGGATGAACACTGGAGGGTCTCTCATGCCAAATATGCTTTATTCGTTTCAACCAAAGGAGAGCAACATTACAAGAATTAAGGTATACTCTCAGCAATTCCTTACCATTTATGTGGCACATGAATTACAGCCAGCGGATTAAGATGGGAAGCTGCTAATGAGTACTCTGTATACCATATGTACATCAGTGACGCAAAGAAATACGCTTTTGCCTAAACTTATAGCTTAGTAAAAAATGGAGTTATTTGAATTTTGAAAAATCTTATTCAGGAAAACCTGCATAATTTAAAAAGACAATGCTTGAAACTTCCCAAACATATTTATTGTTCTTTAAATGCTCCCTTGGGCCATAGAGACTATGAGTAAGATGTAGACAAAACCAAGTTACTTTCCTCCAATTTCCTTCTCCTCTACCCAATCCAAAAATGACTCTACACTGTCCATTATACAGGATGAGTATCCCTTATCTGAAATGCTTGGTACTAGAAGTGTTTTGGATTTTTTTCAGATTTTGGAATATCTGCATTATACATACTTACCAGTTGAGCATGCCTAATCTGAAAATCCAAAATCCAAAACACCCCACTAAGCATTTCCTTGAGTGTCATATCAGCACTCAAAAAGTTTCAGATTTTGGAGCGTTTCAGACTTCAGAGCATTTCAGATTTCAGATTAGGGAGACTCAAGCTGTATAAAATAAAACAAGATTTAAAAGAGTTAAATGAGGTTATAGGCCGGGCGCGGTGGCTCACGCCTGTAATCCTAGCACTCTGGGAAGCCGAGGCGGGTGGATCGCTCAAGGTCAGGAGTTGAGATCAGCCTGACCCCGTCTCTACTAAAAAAAAATAGAAAGAAATGATCTGGACAACTAAAAATACATATATAGAAAAAATTAGCCGGGCATAGTGGCGCATGCCTGTAGTCCCAGCTACTCAAGAGGCTGAGGCAGGAGGATCGCTTGAGCCCAGGAGTCTGAGGTTGCTGTGAGCTAGGCTGACGCCACAGCACTCTAGCCCAGGCAACAGAGCAAGACTCTGTCTCAAAAAAAAAAAAAAAAAAATGAGGTTATAAAATCACTTAATCTTTAAGATTAGGTCTCAGAACATTGTATTAATAAACTCTTACTTATTATAAATGTTTATATTAATATTTAAATTTTTGGACAAATGAAAATGGCTGCCTGTTAAGGGAATGGAAGCAGAATACAGAAATAAGTGAGAAGCTTTGCACAGAGAAGTGATAACATGCCACAAACTAAAGAGTATTTAACTCAACCCTTTTTACCTAAAGTGAAAATATTAATAATAACTCTCATGTTTAAAACTTTAGAAAGCAATACCAAAGTAAATTTTTTTTTCCCAGGAGGTAAAACAGTTCTGTATGTAGTTAAGCCTGAAAACGTTAAACATTCAATTCGGCAATGGATCCTCCAAAAACAATTACTAAATCTAACCTAAGTGTTATGTACTGCTAGGAAAGTATACTGTCTGCCTAACAATGCTGCAGTCATGTAGACAAAAAAGAAAAAAATTCAAACTGAATTTTCCATATTCCAACTGAACTGAGAAATCTGAAAAGCTTGAAATTTGAAAACAATTTCACTTGAAGCTTTCAAATTAGCAAGCAGTAAGTAAAATATTAAAATGAGAAAAATGTAAACACTGAAATCCTATTCAAATCATCAGGAATAGGAAATCGACAACAAATTATAATTTTACTGTAATTCTTTAAAGGACCACTGTCACTGAAAACAAGTATTTCCACTGAACAAAATAGTAAGGTTGGGAAGGTACACATTTACTAACAAAGTTCTCTCCCACCGCTACCCACTTTTACCATTATTACCAACTTCCATTTATTAGTAAATGACAGGAGCATATGATCGAAAATCCCCACATCAAGTAAAAGAGTACTGCTCAAACAGTGGCAACATTATTCTTGGAAATTTTTTCCCCTTAATAATCCTTTACTGGAAACTTAACCAAACGAATCTATATGGACACTTACCCCTGTGGGTCCATTTCTGGGCGCATGTCATAAACCTGGCATTGCGCTAGTCTCACAATCACCCCAGATCTCAGCAGCTCTAAAGCACCTTGCTGTATCTTAGCCACTCTTGTGAGAAATGCCTAAGAAGTTACACAAGAAAAATCATCAGTGCTGAAATCATGTCCAAGGGCCTCATATAAAAGTGAAGCACTCTCACAGCACATTTCTCCTCATCTTTAGTCACCACTGAAGAAAAACTCTGGGCTAGCCACAGGGGCACATTATACCACCTTTCTCCTAGGACTTTTATGAGGACTCAGTGCCTGCAGACAGTGGTTCAAGTATTCACTTAAACTGTAGATTCTATCATCATCATGTGGGCTTATGGCGGGCAAGGAAGTCTGTCTGTTTTGCTCACAGCTGTATCTCCAGCACCTAGTACCAAGCCTGGCATATAGTAAGTATTAAATTAATACTTGTAGAATAAATGAATGAAGGAGGAAAAAGGAGTTAATGAAGAACCTTTGACTTTATTCTTAGGCTTCTATTATTGTGGCATTTGTGATCATTTTAACCACGAGGAAACAGAGAAATTGAAACAGATCTGGAGGCAAGGAAATGATGAATTATATACTGTATTGAAAATTCCGTGTTTACAGTAGAACTAGCACCTCTACATGGGAATTTTCAATATGGCAACTAATACAGTCTGAATTATGCTGTAGAAGGACAATTCTGCTCTCTCTTCATGGAGCACTGGGTGTCATATCACCACCATTAGCAAGCTGAGTTAGTGAGTAAGCAGCAGTCCCATTATCTAATTGACCCTCTCAAGATCATTTCACCCATTTTTTGCATGCTCAGAAGATACACAGATCTCCAAATTTAAAACTGCTTTAAAAAGATTACAGCTTATATGATAGAAGTATTCAAAATGTATGCCACATTGATTTTCCTTAATACGTCTATAACACCAAGAGGAAGTGACCTGTTGATCTAACATCAAATGTCAATAAAGCCTTACCATTTTAGATTCGTAAGTATAAAGGGCTTTTAAAAGGGGAGGCTGTGGAGTGAGTAAGCTCTGCAAAGTACGGTCATCTTCAACTAAGCTGTCCACAAGGACCTTCAAATAGCCACTGTTAGAAAGATACAAAAGCCACTGCTGCTGCTTGTCTACGGAGACAATCCGATCAAGTAGAGCCAGGGCCAGCATCTGAAGGAAGAATAAATCGAAGTTCAGAACATGAAGATGGCTACCAAAATCAGAGACAATAATTGTCTTTATCTGAAAATACTAAAAACTTTTTTCACAAGGAGAATGGTTGCTCACAATAAAATTTCCTTATTTTGTTTTCTTGAGAAGTAAAAACTATGGATCCAAAATATCACTTTATTAATAAAAGGAAAACATTCAGGGTAAAGTTATATTTCTGAAACAAAACCTAAAACATTAAAATAATGGCATTAAATATATTTTGGCAGAATCTAAACATTACCATTAGAGGAAAAGAATTTTTTAAAATAGCTCTTTTCTCTAATTACAAAGTTTTACACCCTCATTACAGAAGATATAGAAAAGTATATAAGAAATACACAATCTGATAAACACAGTTAACCCATTTCGGTTTATCTCCTCCCAGTGTTTTTTCTATGCATAAAAACACTACACAGTTTATATTTTATCCTATTTTTTTAAATCCTGTTTCCCATGGTCTTGATTTAATCCCATGGTCATGATTTAAATGCTACATAATTTTCCACTAGGACAAAGTTATCATCTCATTGCATCTTCACCAGTGCGTCACAATGTTTAAAAGACATATAAATGCAAATTCTCCACAAAGCATTGAGGCAGAGAAAGATATACTCAGTCTAAGGCAATTTATCTAGCATTCCCTTAACCAAATATCTTTATTAAGCAGCATTTCTGTTGTTTCTGCCAGAGTTGTTCTACCAGCCAACCTCAAAATTAGCAAAAAGAACTCCGAGGGGAAATTCTGAATTAATTAAGATTCTAAACACAATTAAACAAAACATGAATAAACAAAATACAAGTCCCAAATTATAGCAAATAAGCAAATCCACTATTATATTATAAAGAATAATTCTTATATATAGTGTACATTTTAAACTTCAGTTTATACCTTAATAAGTAAAAATACTTATTCAACTATAACACTAAACAAGAGTCACTTTACCCTTCCAATCTCATGGCCGTCACAAGCGTCTCGACAGACCACTTCCATGAGGGCGGCACCGTAACTCTCAATGATGGCTATGTTTTCTCGCTGTAATTTACTAAATACGTCTTCAGGGGCTGTCAGCCTCTCCCACATGGTTTTCTTGGCTAAAAGGATTAAAACAGAAAAAACACTTCAATAAAAAGCAGTTTAATAACCAAGCAATGACATTTCATATGCAACAAAAAAAATCCTTCCTTCTGTTACTGTATATACACAAAGGCCCACTGAGCAATGCCAATGAGTCCAGCCAGGTAAACTTCAATAACACAACGCACATACTTCATGCATGTACACTAAAATAATAATAGTATCAGGAAAAGGATACTGTCTGTTTTTTTAAAGAAATCAAAATGAATTATGAGACCCCAAGAGAATATCCTATATTTATCCAGTTAATCTTTTGTCTTTTATTGAAATCTTTGTGAATTTGCCTAGAAAGAATCAGGTACAACATAAACAAAAATCTGCCTCCAAAACATCTTTTTATTAAAAATAAAAGCACATCCATTATAAAGGTGACTTTAAAGTACAATGACAATTAACAATATGAGATTTTATATGAGATTGATGTAAACCTTTTAGAAAAGTCTCACAAATACACGAAATAAAACAATAACCGAGGCTGGATGCAGTGGCTCACACTTGTATTCCTAGCACTTTGAGAGGCCAAGATGGGAGGACTGCTTGAGGCCAGGAGTTCGAGATCAGCCTGGGCAACATAGCAAAACTCTGTCTCTACAAAAACTAAAAAAATAATTAGCCAACTGTGGTGGCATGTGCCTATGGTTGCAGCTATCAAGAGGCTAAGACAGGAAGATCAGGATCCCTCGAACCCAGAAGTTTGAGGCTGCAGTGAGCTATGATTGAGCCACTGCATGCCAGCTGGCGACCGAATAAGACTCTGTCTCTAAAAAGTAAATAAATAAATAAAGCAATAACCTGATTTGGAACTAATCTCATGATTTCCCCTCCCAACTACTACATAGCAGGAGTTTTTAAATCGTCATCCTGGTGACTTTTTATATTAATAAAAAGCCTATTGTAGAGCTCCACCCAGTGGTTAGGTAGTGATTTTGCCAATTCAAACTAATGGAATGTAAAAAAAACTTTAGGAAAAAAAAACATGTGGGAGGTGTTGGGGGTGGGGGAATCCCAATACTATCTCTCTTTTTAAGAAAAGCTCATGTTTATTTAAAAAACTTCTCCAATTATTCTATTTCCTAACCTTAAAAATATCTTCATGCATTCATTATTCAAGTGGGTACTACACATGTCTATAATCTACCATTTGGTTATTATGTTCTGAGGTACTACAAGTGGCATAATATACAACCACTACCAGAATAATATGAGATCAACTGAGCCTTACACACAGTGGTTTTTAAGACTCTGTGTACAAAATAACAATGTACAATGTACAATATCCACTATCAGAAGGTACTTCTAACAAGTTCTTAACAAATAGCAAATAACTCTGCCATAGAGTATTATATATTCACCTGTTGAACAGTTAAAAACATTTTTCATGACTGGAGACCAAAAGTTCCAGATTATTACTCTCAATTAAAAATGCTAACTACATTTTAGAAAGCAGCATTTATCAATATTTTAAATACGCAAATCTTTAAGCCAAGAATTCTACTTCTTGAAATTTATCTGAAGAAACCGCACACTAGTACAAAAAGATATATGTATACTATTGACGAGAGTTTATACGGCTAACGCTTTTTTTAGAAGGCCATTTGATAGAATCTATTACAATAAAAATGTGCATACTCTTTCACATGGAAATTCTACCATGAAGCATCCTTCTTGAAAAATACAGGCATGTGAAAGAATATTTGATGTAGCAGTTTTGTGTCAGTAAAAAATTACAAATAATTTAGGGGAGGGGCTGGGGTAGAAGGAAAAAAAAGATAGAAATAATTTAAATGCCTAAGAATAAGGAAAATGGTTAAATGTTATATCCATACCTTGGAAGAACAGAGCCATTTTAAAAGAATCAACTACATATGTACTGTGATTTAGTGTGAAGGAAAGAAAGATGTTGTACCACTCTATGCATATTGTTCAGTGGGATGGGAGACAAG